ATATTTTTTTAATTTATTATTAAAAATATGTTTACATATTTAAATATTTAAATTATTAAATACAAATTTTTAAACACTGCATACAATAAAATAAAATATGTTATATGATATTGTTATAAATAGAGTACCTATATTAATGTTCACCAAAATTATCAATGCTACCATGTAGGGACGATTGCCGAGGTCCATTATCAAATGTTAACAAATTTTCCATTTTTTTTTTATATAGGTCAAAATGTTTGTTGGCGGTAAAAGTTTGACAGATGAATGTTATACGATAATGTCCTTTAAAAAGTTAAAAAAATGCAAAAAAAAAAAATTTTAATCCACATCTGCTTGCTTGTTTTTTCCTGTAATAGTATTCAATTAAAATGTTTAACAGGTCCATTGTCAAAATTATAACAAGCTTCTTACCGTCAAGAAATTCTTTACTAAAAAAACCTAATTCTTTATTGATTATTAGGTATTGATATAAAAAATTATGTCAGTTGATTATCCATTTTTTTTTCTTATTCATTTGAAAAATATTTTTTAGGAACTACCACAGTAAAAAATAACGACCCCATTAGTATACAAAACATATTATAATATACTCTAATATCTAATTAAACTAATAGAATATTTCATTGGAGGTTTTTTTTTGTTTTGAATAACTATAATGTATTGTTAAACTGAAATACTAATAATTAATTTAATAGAGTTGACCTAATTGTGTAAATTTGATTTTTTACATGGTAAATTTGATTGCAATATTTTGTATAGGCTTTTATTTTAATTTTAATAGTTATTGATCTTTATTAGGTACTCGTATAAAATAGTCTTGTTAATACGTTACAAAACGATAGTCGGTAAGTAAATTGCTATTAAAACACAATGTTACTGTTTGAGTTTAAATATAAAAACAACAATTTCTGAATTGACATATGTATATATATCTAAATATATATTTTCTTATTTTTTACCACATTGGTAGACGGTTGTTGAGCGTTATTAGTTAATTAATTATACATTGAGTATTTCAGTGTATTTTCGTTGATTTACTCACCAGGAATTAGTAGGATACACAATTTAATTTTTTTTCATTATCAGTCATATTATGTGTTTTTTACCCTTTCTAATGTGTTATTATTCACTCTCTTTATAATATGTCTTCGATTTATGATACCAAATAACTATTAGCCCGCGAACTCAATATCATCTTAATCAAAACTTTAACTGTCCTACATAGACCTTACCCATCTTGACGTCATTTATTTGAAGTCTGGCACACATAACGTTATACCCATCAGTTTAAAAGCAAAGTTTTCTCGAGCAGCAACTTTACCGTTGCGTCTTCGTGTATATTCAGTTGAAAATCTGACAGAGTTCTGGCTATGTGGCGGTATTCAAAAGGAGAAAACGGCTGAGAGATGAAAAAGTATATAATATAATACGTGTGTAAGACTATAGGACGAGCAAAAGGGGAAGAGAAAGACACTTTGACGGAAATGTCGTCAGAACTTTGTATAGAAAATTAAATTGCATGCTCGCGCTCGCTATAGGTACGTCGAGAAGCGACAGCGGGGTGTCAGACGAAGGGGAAGCATTTTCCATGATGGCTTCTTCTTAAAACTTACCCCTTTCGTGGGATCCAGGCGGGTATGTGAGAGGTGGCGGTAGTAAGGTGTTTGTCAAGTAAAAGGGTGGAGCTCGCAAAGTATCTCCGGCATTCTTATTGGCCCAAATGATTTCCACACACACACGCACGCTGTATAATGTTTAATATACATATATATATATATATACACACAAAGCATACACAACACGGGGATGTGTATTCGTACTTTCCAACTTCGTCTAAGCGTAACTCCTTCCTCCTCCCTCAAAGACCCGGGCATTTCGTGTTAAATTAGAATTTCCCAAAGCCTCCTGTCTTTTAGCTCTCTTGACGCGGCAGACAATTTAATAATGCACGCTAAGACGGCTCGAAAGTAGACCCGCGGGGATCCTTTGTTCCTACCGAATAATCTCATACCTTAATACAAAACCCGAAGACATACACCTCACCGCCACATCCCTCTACGTACAACAACCTTACTCCTGCACCAAGTCCCGGTCCAAAATTCTATCACCGGCTCCACCCATGAAAGTAGCCCAGGAAGAAATTCGAATCTTCCGCGTTGCTCTCATCGCGGTTCTAATTAATATTTCACTTAGTATTTTATCAAACGGGTCGTAACTACCCTTTCTATAGTTCATCCTATGAATACATTTATGCGTTACACTACTTATTAGAATAATTATAATTAGAAATAGTGCAGAAATAATTGGAAATATAATGTTGTCATATATATATTTTTTTTATGATTAATATCCATTGATATTATATTATGTATAATATGGGTAAATGATAATTTGTATAACATTTAAAAAAAATTTTATTTTGGAAAATAACAATTCTTTTGTTAATCTTATGAAAAACAAAATGTGTATAAATTAAGTTAAATTCTAACAAAATATGGTTATTATAGTTCATAGTAAGTAAAAATAAGGTAGTAAGTTTGACTGCCAAATTCTGATTGTGCTATATTTTTTAGCGTAAAAAAATATTTAGTCGAAGTTAGAAGTATTCTTATATATAACTATGAAAATAGAAAATAAATGTAAAGTTAAGTACAATATATTATAGCTCTATTTATTATTTATTTGTGCGTAATAGTAAGGCCAATGTATTTTTTTTTTAATTTTTATACAGAGTTTAGTAAAAATATGTAAAATTTACTATAATATGTGAGATTGGGTATTTATAAAATATGTGTATTATATTTATTAATATATAAAACATATAGGTAGTTCACTATAATTTATTTTATTAACAACGACTTTTTCAATCAAAACAAATGTATGATACCTATTCAGAATAATACCTTATGAATCAAATTTCAAAAGTATAATTCATTTTTTTATTTCAACAATTAAATTTGTAAATCTTAATAAGTTTTAAGACACGTACATCGTAAAAAATCACAAAATACGTAAAAAATGTTAATCAACAATCTGTTTTTTCTCAAATAATTCGTTAGAACTAATCCCTACTATTGTGCACAACAGTTGCAAGACAAGGATAGTACAAAATTATAGGTTCGAAGACACTCGTGTATCAAAATTACATAACCGAAGTGCCGTATAATTATTAATTTTATACAGTAATTTATATTTTATTATTCATATATAATATGGAAATATCAGGTATATTATAACGGTTAACAAAAAACCACAAATTACATAATTTATAAACATAAAATACTACAATTAACAAATTGATAATAATGATACAGTAAATAGTTAAGAGGACGTCACACCGGCCATTTCTAAGGAGTAAAATATAGGCAATTTTTCAAAAAATCTTAATTTAGAGTTTAAACTATAATGTATACTTATTAATACAGTAATGAGGATACTTTGTTGATTGCCATTTTTTTTGTCAGACTATCACAGTCATTTCTATAGGATAAATTACAATTTTTCCCCTTCAAAACTGCTTTGCGTCGATTAATTTTTCTCAGGCTTCATAACATAGTTAAGGAAAGAAATTCATACATTGTATTTATGACAAAATTATCTGTGTTCCATCATCCGTATTTTTTCGATATACCTAATACAATCAACGCTATATAATTTTTAAAAAAGTCCTTTCTTAATTAATTAATTATTCATTAACTGGTGGAAATATTAAAAAAATGTCAATGGTAGAACACAGACAATGTTGTTGTCTATATTATGTTAAAATTTGGTTTTTTACTTTTTGATTACAGCCTTTGTAAGGCGCAAGGCGGGTTTTTTGAAGAAAATAACGGGTGTTTGGCGCCCTCTTAACCGAAAAACTTTCATTCCTAATGGAATAATATCCCTAATACGAATAAATCTTTCGCCTTTTATTCCTAATGGTTGAGTAGAAATATTTAAAACCTTTATCAAAGGTAGCCTGATACAAATTTTACATATTTTTTAGCATGTATCATGCTTTAGCCTTGGCTGCCAACCCGAAAATGTCACTAAATAACGACACTAAATTTCGATACTAAAGTAGCGCGCTTATTTCAAACCTATAATAATATATTATAATGCCATCGAAATAATAACGAGTCGTCGTCGTCATACAAACGTTTAGCCAGAACATATAATTAAAACTATACTATCATCATAAATCGCAAGGAGATTATAGATCAGAAATAATCACTATTCAGGAGTCATCAGGCTAAAGCATGTTCCATGTTTTATAATTTTAACCGCTTAATTAGACTTAATTTAACCGCTTTAAGTAGACTATACCGTTTATTGTAATAAATGTAGGTAACTTATTACATTTATAAAAGTAGTAAAAACAACTATTATTTTTGAATAAAAACATATTGCCAACAGCAATTTATTTTTAATATAAAATACTGATAACATACTTATTTACATTATTAAACAATTCCACGTTTTTATAATTATAAAGTCTACGTTATTTAAAATTGTATAATATCACACATTCTTATCTCACTATAAAATAATGTAGAAAATGTACATTTCAAACAAGAGGAGGAGAAATGTAATGTATGGAACCATTAAATAAATTTATAAAACATTAAATGTGTTGTAGTATTATTCAGTTATAACTTATTTATGATGTCATTTTTTATGAACAATTATAAATTTAAATAAAAATAGAGTTTTATAAAGAACTATTAGAACTATTATGTTATATATATACACCTTTTTTATTCTTTTAAATGACCAAAAGTAAATTTTAGTATTTATTTAAAAAATATTTCAATAAATGTAGATTTTGGGTGTAAGTTTTAAAAGTTGAACAATTATCAAAACACCAATGGAAAAAATGACTCTATAATAGTCAGTTTTTAATAAATTATACATTTTAGGCAATTAGGATATTTCATTTTATCCATATTATGCAGGTACGAAGTAAAAAGTGACAATGAAGTAGAACATATTTTTTACAAAATTTTAATGTCAGTTATATTAATGTTTTACTTATCTGATAATATAAAAAACCTATGTTTTCTAATTTATATAATATAATAATCACTCATACATTATCATTATTATTAGTTTAACAAATGTAGCTGTATTCCACAATTTTGTGACTGTTAGTGTCAATCCGGGACGTTTTTGGGGTTCAAGAGATGGCATTTCGTTCGGCAAAACTTCAACTTCACGTTGATCTTCAAGTGTAGAGGGCAGCACATGATATTTCGCCGGTTTCTGTAAAATTAATATATTTTTAATAATATTTAAATACGACCGTATACAATTTACAGTTGTTTACAATTTTGTTTTCATAAACCTATTATAAATCGATATCATATTTGATTTGTTTCTAGAATAATACTATAATATAACAGATACTAGTATATTATAATAATTGCCTAAAAGAAATGAGTAATGTATAAAAAAAAACAAATGGAGTAATTATATACAAAAAATGGGAATCATCAAAGTAATTTGTTAAATACAATTTTTAGTTTTAGCAAAAAGGTTTTAACTATAGGTGTTATACTAATATGCACGTTACAATTTTAAGAAAAACATAATTGATAATTTCATAATAAAAATTGCATTTTTTTTTTCATAATCTTAAAGTTATCTTACCCATTAATAATAATTTATCTTTATAATTTTACAATTTGAACTATATGTGTAAAATAATTCTTGGACGTTATACTGAAGAGACGCGACAAAGTGGTGTTACGTTTTTAATTTTTACAAAACTTTTAAATGTAACTTTATGTATATATTTTTATGTTAGTATGCGTTTAATGTTAGTCAAATTATTTTTCAATAATATATGTATTGTACACATTTATTACCAAGGTCTATAGAGGCTAACAAAGTTTACTCTCAGAGATATACCTACGTAGACAGCAGCCCGTCGTGGTCTTTTGGAATATACGTCTAATTAAAATAACGTGTCCACAAATAGCCACGACCGTTTAAGTGTACAGGTTGACAAAGGAGTGGTTATTAAATGGTAGACCGGTAGAAGCTCGCAAACGATTATTATTGGAAATCGTCATTAACCAAAGTATTACAGTTTCCACTCTATCAGACGGCCGGCACGCAAAATAGATTTTTGGTCGCGTGTTGCACATTATACCAACGGAATGCGCTCGTTGACAGTAATTATTTTCACTGTTCACTTTCCATTCCAAAATCGGCGGCAGTTAATTCGTTAATTTTCCAACTCATCGACCGTCGTCCACAGCACGCCCTTAATCATGTTTACTCCATAGCCCTCGATGTGCCGTGGTCGTCTTCTCGTAGGTCATTACACAGCAAATTCGCTGCAGGACAAACCGAATGATCAATGCTTAGAAGCCTCCAAACAAACATAATATCGGCTTCTCAATGAGCAAGAAGCAATCCTCTCAGACCTCAGATAAGTGTTAACACTACATAATATTCAACACCTGGATTTATATACCTGCAACAAAACATAATAATATTAGGTCAGTTAAAAATGCCGGTATTTTAATCGCGCAAAGATGTCTGTGTTATTTGTTAATATTTATTATTATCTCTTTAAACACACGATATTCAAAATCCAAATCGAAATCCGAGTTTAATACGTGGATTTTGGTATTTAATCCAATTAAAAAATGTTTCTGTAATCAAGAATAAAGTTGAAATTACAAAAATAATAAAAACAAGAAGAAAAATGTTAAATTATTTTACGGAATAACAATAAAACTAATTGTGTTATACTGTAAAATATAAATGATATGATACTTTTTATTCGACATGAAAATTGAGTTGGCCCAAGAGAAATAAAAAAAAGTGGTTGCATGAATATGTTTGTGCTGGTAAAGGAATTACACAAAAGGAAATGAGAATACCACAGAAAAAAAGGTATACCGTACTAAAAAAAAGGGGCCATAAATGGTCAAACAATAAAATATGTTTGGATAAAAACACTGTATTCAAGGGGTAAACGGTCAGTAATTTATTGCACTAAAGGCCATTTGGGCATCACCTGTTGTTTGCGTTTTTACAAACCTCTACCGCACTCAATGGACCCTTTTTACAAAAAAAAAAAGCCTGTTGATATTTTGCCGAGAGAAATTTTCTTGCTGGGATTCAAAATTAGCTCCCTATTCTAACTTAATTGGCGTTGCTCTTTGTCTGATACTCTGATCCCTACTTAAAAAAACTTTAAAAAAAATGATTTGTCTTTTTATTAATTAGATTAATATTTTTTAAACTAATAAACAAACTTAACATTTTTAGTACATATAATTTATTTCTAATTTCAATAAAATTGTTGCAAACATTAATTTTTGATTATAGTAATAATAATATTTACTACTAATTTGTATTGCTTTACTGCGTTAATTAAAAAATATCAAGATAAACAAAATAAAACAAAAATTAATTTAATATAAATTAATTAAATTAATTAAGTGATATTAAAATAAACAAAAAGCTCCCGTAGTAAAGCACTTTATTCCAGAAAATATCAATTTTACAGGATAATTAAAAAAAATGTTACAAAAACATTCTCTTAACAATTTATAGCAAGTTTTACTTGCACATCCATGAAAAAACAAAAAAACAATTTTGGACTTTTTTTACAGAAGTCGTCTTGTTTCTGTTAATTAATGAGATAATATCTTTCTATACTATTCTATGACGAGGCAGCTCCAACGCCGAAAGAAAATAACAGCATGAAATTAGCCGCCGGTTTAGTGTACATAGGATATCAGCTGTATATTACAATAATTATAATATTAATAATAATAAATAACAAATTAAAGTTGTCGTCTGCCAAACATTCTGATTAAAAATTCGATCGTTTTGATCTCAAAACTGCTATACAATATATATACAATTATTTTCATTTTATTTGGGTATTATTAATTTTTAGTAATTGGGGAGATAATATAACATATAAACGAAAAAAATGTTTCAACTGCTAAGCTATATAAATGTCAAACATTAATTTAATACAACAAAACTGTGAATTTGTACTTATTGAATTGCAAAATACACATAAATGTGTATAAATATTTTCCTCACTTACTCAATTAACATAATTTTTTATTCGGTGCTTTAAACATGAAAAGATAAAAATATAATAATAATTTATATACTTTAAAAGTTTAATAATTTTTTGGCAGATTATTTTTTTAGTTGTAGCATTGATATTAAAATATATATAGATAACTGATAACTGATAAGCATAAATAAACGACGACAGATTTTATGCAAATTATTCGACGTCAAGAAGTACCTTCGACATATTATTATCGTTATTGGTGGACGGTTGATAGAATCCCGTCTTGACGGCGCGAACTCAAATAAAATCTGTCGCCATTTGTGTGCTTAACACTGTTTATCTGTATTTTTAAAAAAAATGTTTGTAGGTAAGAATTAAGATATTATTGATGTCTTATGGGGTTTCCGGTTTTAGAGTTTACACTTTGAAGTGATCTTAAAAACTACAATAGTATTCGGTCACAGTGTATGCTTTAGGTTGTTATTATCAACTGCATTCTGATCGAGCGTAGATTTTCTAATAAACGAATTGTCAAAACAATAGTGGTGGCAATCATTTTGCAGTGATTTACCGGCACAGCTGACGTTTTATGCCGTTGAAGTGACTGATATAACAAGAGTGTTTTTGACATCGAAGCTCCATCATATTAAAGAACGAGGTAGTTTTGCTCGACAATAAGTCGTTTTGTCATTTCTCTTCTTAGCGACGAACTGTGCAAAAGGGGGCCCGTGGGGTGGTTGATTAATCCCCGGGCCGAGCATTCGAGACAAAAGTCTCCGGTGCTCGTCAATAATTATTTCGACAAGAACCTGTATGCAAGAAAACGGATGTACGCTATATATATATATATATATGGACGTGAAGGAGGAGGGGTCAGCACCCTCCCGCCTACGACTCTCGAGTATATAATAACAAGTATTCGCGTACACGCGAAGAAAGTTGCATACAAAACAACGCGAGAGAGCTACCGCCGAGTCATAAATTACAAGTTGAAAGTTTCCCCCTTGACCCCCGCCCGTCAGAATGGCATTACTCAAAAGAGTGCGCCTGAAGGCAACGAAATTACACTATCCACTCCCCTAGTCCCTATCCATCCGTCTTCGTATTCGCACACACACACACACACACAACCGCCGTTTGCAACCATTCGTATCCGTGATAAATCGACCTGGCTTGTGTACCTACTAGTGGCGACGCGGACAGAGCACAGGGACGGCAAGTCAATTACCGCGGTGTGTACGGCACGTTCACCTTAGAATTCCTCAGAAAACTTTCACTGGCTACATGCATGCAGCACAGGCTGGGGTGACATCGAAACGGTGCCGGAGGGAAAGGCGTCGGTGTTGTCTGTACTTGGTCCTCATGTCGACTATAATAATTATTAACGAAAGATGAAAAACCTTAATAGTCTCCTCCGGGACGCATAGATCATACGACGACAAAACGTTAATAATTGTTGATAAGTTGAAATTTATCATTTACACCGTTTTCGTTATGTATATACTATATAGACGCCAACAGAATTTTTGTCATGATAAAAACCCTCGTGGTGTCTTTGTGTAAAGCTCGTAAAATTGCCACAATGTAATGTACACTCTTGCTTCACTCGATTTTCAATAATTGTATATACCTCTCTGTATCCTTATACACTGAACAGTGTTACAATAACTCACGCGACATTATATCATACGGTTGGTTACTTTGTGTCGCCAATCACATGAATATAGAACCTTTTAAAAGGAAGCCCTAATGTGAGTTCAACGTTATAATCGAGGCCGGGTTTGTTTACGTTGTGTCCTTTTCACACTATGCTTTATAATTTATAATAATGAACGTTTTCGTCAATCGACATCTATTATACAGGCTGTATTGTTTTGTTATATTTAACCCGTCATCTTCGAGGCTTTTTAATATCCTTTTTACAAATTGAACGACAATTATAGTAATTATAATGTTTCGTCATGATGCAAAAACAGAATCAAGAGGAAATTCCTAAAGACCCATAAATCCCTACCCTTGTGAGTTTTCATTGAAGGTTCGTGCAATCAATTAATTTTATTAAGTAACGCCAACAAATTAATATTAGTTTATTTTACGAATAATAGAAATTTAAAGAGGTTAACAAGACGTATAAACAACTAATAACGTTTTACCTTTTAATGTACACAATGGCTAAGGACACCCTCTCGTGGTTAAACTGAAATGTATTGCCCTATATGACCAATTTTTGGGTAGAAGGTTTTTTTTAAAAAAATGTAGTTTTTAAAACTTATTTCTCTTAAAACCGCAGAAAAACAAATGATTGTGTCTGTTTTAGTTGATAGTTTTAAATTTTGATAGTTTATAAATTTATCTGCAAAAAAATAGCAATTAAAGGGACAATTAGTATAAATGTGGTTTAAATTAATATTATAAAGTTTTTGTGAGTTTTTTTAATTTCATTATTTTTAGTGTGTCAATAATATACTTTTGTAGATTTCTATTAACAAAGTAGTTTTTATTTATTGTATTAATAATTAAATTAAAAACCATCTGGTGATAATACAAGACCGTAATAATTATTGATAGTAGTTGTATTCTTGTGTAGGTAATATTACAGGCAGATGGCTACTATTTTATTTATATTATTATACTGAGTAATATTGACCTTCCGGCGGGCGTGCCTTTTTGTTATCATAAGAAGTCAATTTGATAACAGCACTCAGTGCTGCCACACGACCGCCAATAGTTTAACAATTTAATTTCAACCGTTACGTTAATTGCTGTACTAAGTAAATGACAGCGTGTCATATTTATTGCGAACACACCTTTTAGATATTTTCAAAACTTCAGGTCATACCTCAAAAAGTTTACAATAAAGCCTCGCGGCGTTTTGTGTTTGGTCACCTTTTAACGAGTTCCTATTGTTTACGGTGTAGTCTCGAAAATATTGCATACGTAAACCACAAGTGTAATTTACCCCTTTAGTGTTATAGTCGACCTTAAAGGAAACCGCATGACCGATAGACTTACCACATTTTCGGGTTTCGTCGTTTATACACACCGCAGATGTATCTTATTGTTAAGCACACAGCCAAAGACTAGATACTCCAAAATGGCTTAACGCATTTTGTTTGTACACAATATACTATATATTATACGTATAATATTATAAAATATAACTTAATGATAACAATAAGATGTATTCAATGCACATTTAAATTAGTTTAAACTTTAGTTTAACATTAGTTTCATTTACCCGTATAGTTTATTTATACATAGTATTTGATTACATAGTTCAAATGCAATATCCATACATTTTTAGTTTAATTTTAAAAAAAAATTTTATTGTAAATAATTGAAAAAATGATTTTATTTGATTTATTCGTAATAATTAGATTTCAATTTAAATGCGATAATTGGAATTCTAAGAAGATTCTAAGAGGTTG